GAGAGAAAGCACCCCCAACAGGGTATTGACTCTGCAGTTTACCTCTAGCCTCAGCCAGCCCCAGATCATGTGTATGCATGTGGCATATTAGGGAGGGTGCTGGGCTTGAATTGGGAACTTTCCTATGTCGGATTGCCTAACAGAGCATCGTGTTTTACTGCTATACCACCATCTGTCCCACTCCACCTCCCCACAGTCTGTTCATGGATGTTTCAAAAACTGAGTCCAGTAATAATTCTGAGTGTGGCTCCCTATGATTCATCTCTGGTTAAAACTTTCATAACTATTCTACAACAGTCCTGATTTATTGGAGCCTAATGTAGTACCTTATTCTATTCCAGCTTATAGTTTCTTGTTTCTTGTGTGCTCCCAATCTGGCTGAAGGTGGTGGGGCTTTGCTTTCCCTGGTATTCCATCCACTGCTGCCTTACAGAAAAAGCACAGAGAGCAAAGTTTATGTTGGAAGAAAACTGTTCTAGGACTTCTAGCCTCTGGTGGCTCACCACTGGCTCCCTAACAATGATGCACTGTAGACAGAGCTCAGCAGAGTGCTGAATCAGGTCCTAGAGAGTTGAGGGCTTACTGTGGAAAGCATTGCTGGGAAGACAAACATTTTGCCTTCTAGATCAGGTTCCCAAGGCCAGAGAGGTGAGGGTGGCTGGGGATGTGGCACACGGGCCTTGTGCTAGGGTGAGGAGGTTGTTGAGTGGGCATAGGTAAGAATGTGTGCGACCTTGGGGTGGTAGAACTCTGGAGGGAGGGTAAGTGTGACAAATTGCTCACAATTCATTAACTCTGGGCTGGGTTCCCTCCAGTAAGCATCGTGATCTTTGTCAACCTCTACTTGGTGGTGTTCACACCATACTGGCCTGTCACTGTGCTCATTCTCACCTGGCTGGCTTTTGACTGGAAGACCCCTGAGCGAGGTAAGGGCCCTGCTGGGGCTGTGTTACTGCATGCCATATGCTCTTTCCTCTTCTCTCCTTATAACGCTGACAGACTCTGGTCAATTTTCAGGTAGCCTTTTATCCTGTCCTTTCCTGGGCTAGAGAAGCTAAGGAAAGGTATTCTCTAAAGGTGCTAGAAAGTCCCAGATCAGAACTGGTGTGGGTTAGGGAGAAGCAGCTGGTAAAGCAGAAGGCAAGTCTATTCTAAATTGGCCATGATGTGCACATGCTGGTTTGCCTCTTAAGAGATGAGGAAACAGAGAGCACTCTGTGGGCCCAAAGAGTTCCCCAGAAGGCTCAAAAGAGTATGGTGGGAATGGGCAAAGCTCTGTCACATTGCCTATTTTCAGGTGGCCGCCGGTTTAACTGCGTGAGACACTGGTGCCTATGGAAACATTACTGTGATTATTTTCCTCTCAAGGTGAGTGTCCCCAGATCCTCACTTGGGCCCCAGGACCAGCTCCAACTCCAGTGCCAACGGTTGGGTCACGGTGGGGGTGGAGGACACCATCCACATGAGAGTGACATGCCCTGGAGTTGCATGTTGCCCAACCTACATGGCTAGACCCAGCAGCCCTTTCTACTCTAGGTTTCTAGTCAAAAGAGGAGGTCTCTTCCCTGGCCATGGCCCTCCTATCTCCATTTTCCTCTCCAGCTCTTGAAGACTCATGATCTCTCCCCCAGCCAGAACTACATCCTTGCCTGCCACCCTCATGGGCTCATGTCCCATGGATGCTTTGGCCACTTTTCCACAGCAACCTCAGGCTTCTCCAAGATTTTTCCTGGAATCACCCCTTATATGCTCACACTGGGGGCCTTTTTCTGGGTACCTATCTTCAGAGACTATGTCATGTCTACAGGTGAGTTGGCTCCTAGAACACAAAATCAAAGGAAAAATGGCTTCTCAAGGGATAAGTGTGGAGGGAGAGGGATAGGTGAGAGCAAGGGCATCTCTGTGATTCCCCCTCCTATTTTTAATTGCCAGAGAGTGCATATGAGAGAGAGAGAAAGCACCCCCAAATGGATTGTGTTTTTTTCTTTTTTTTTTTTAAAGAGGTTTTTGCTATAAGGGCACATGCGCTCACCAGAAAGACAGAGAGACAGAGACAGAAAGCGAGAAATCATCCCCAGCGGGGATGGCCATACCACAATCTCTTCTCCACTCTCCTCTTGGGATCTTGGGCATGCATGCATATGCGCCCGGCGTGAGTATAAGTCACCAGGTCTGGGACTCAAACCACGGTTGACTACGTGGGAGTCCAGTGACATAGCCATTATGCCAACTGCTGGTCCCATATTGTGTTTTTTAAGCTACTGGGCCTGGGACTCAGTGTGACCAGCTGTGTGGGATCTGATTCTCTTCATCGCTAGGTCACAGGGCTGGCCCACCCCTCTGGTTTTAAACAGTTACCCTAGGCTCACTCGCTCTGTGATTCTCCTTGCTCTCCCCCTCCTTTGAAGAGTTAGGGAGGAAATGTAGGGAGTTTGAGAAGTGGCCAATGACCTCTTGGCTTTTTCTGCCTGCCAGGGGCCTGCTCTGTGAGCCAGTCCTCCATGGACTTTCTGCTTACCCGTAAAGGCACAGGCAACATGCTCATTGTGGTTGTTGGTGGCCTGGCTGAGTGCAGATACAGCCTGCCAGGCTCTTCCACCCTGGTCTTGAAGAACCGGTTTGGCTTTGTGCGTGTGGCCCTTCGACATGGGTAAGGACAGTTCCAGAATGCAGGGAGGGGATCTGAATGACCAGCAGAAAATTCAAGGAAGTGGTATCTAAAGAGGGAAGAGTAAATGTATGATAGATTGTTATTGTCTATAGTCATTATGAAGATATACAATTTTTATTTGTCAATTAAAAAAAATAGAAAAAGGATGGAAGAGGAAAGTTGCCTCTAGGTTGGAGAGGAGCTGGGACCAAGTCCTGGAAACATTTCTGCTTAGGAAGAAAGAGGAGAGGATCAGTCCAAAGCCCATTCTACCTCCCAGAGCCTGCTCTCCCTCAACCAGCCTTTTCTCAGTCCCAACAGCCTTTCATCTGGGCCAGTCCCTCTAAAAGAGGACTGGCTATAACTTCATCTCAGAGACTTACTAAACTCAGCATGTGGGTTGAAGGGGAGAAAGCCAGATGAAATGGCCCTGGGGTCTTATCCTTCTAGTGTTTCAGACCTGGGGATGCACAAGAGGTCCTGGGTTGGCTTCCTTTTAATTTGCTGCTATATCGCCCTCATAAGCAGCCTGGAGTGGGTCTTGGAATCTCCACACACAGCCTTCACTGAGTCAGGGCTGGGGTTTGGGAAGCTTGTAGGCAGACCCAGAGACCACTGGGAGCAAGTACATATGGCTTTCTGGTCATCAAAGGACATGCTTTTTTTCCGCAGGGTGGCTCTAATCCCTTCCTATGCCTTTGGGGAGACGGACCTCTACAATCAGCATATTTTCACTCCTGAAGGCTTGGTCAACCGTTTTCAGAAGTGGTTCCAGAGTATAGTCAAGATCTATCCTTGTGCTTTCTATGGGCGAGGCTTCACCAAGAATTCCTGGGGCCTTCTACCCTACACACGACCTGTAACCACCGTCAGTGAGTGAATTTTTCTGGCAGTCTCTAAGATACAGAACCTAGGCCTGAAACTGATTCTCAGCTCTGGCTGTGCTCAGGGAGTGGCCAGGAGCAGTGGTTGGTTGGGGGATGAGGATGGGTGGAACCTGGGCGTCAGGCCTGGGGTCCATTTAGAGAAATGAGTGATCCTGAAGCTTTTCTCTTTTCTTTCTCTATCTCCTCTGGCAGTCGGGGAGCCTCTACAACTACCCAAGATTGAGAATCCCAGCCAGGAGATTGTGGCTAAATATCATGAACTCTATATTGATGCCCTTCGCAAATTATTTGACCAGTTTAAGACGAAGTTTGGCTTCTCGGAGACCCAGGAGTTGGTGATAGTTTGACTGATATCCCCAACAGCCTCTCAGCCTAGCTGAAAGGTGTGGAACCAGTGGAAACGGGAGGACAAAAGTCATCTATGGGGCTCCTGCTCTGGATCTGATTGATCCTCATTATGGGGAGGGCTATCCATTTGGTTGTTTTCTGCACTTCATCTCTTTCTTCTTTCAGCTCTACTCTGCCTTTTACAAGAAGCAGAAGAGATCCTAGGAGAGAGATGCCCTGAAGGCTTTCCCAACTCACATTGTACCAGCATTGAAGAAAGCAGTGGACATAATAAAAAGCCCATCTTCTGATACTGCTTACTGTGTGTGCCCCAACTAGTCTGATTCTAGGATCCCTGTGCATGTCTTTTCTTTTCTGGCTCTCAAACCACCCATCTCCTGACACTGAGACACAGCAGAGCTGGGTGCTTTGAGATTCAGCAGTCTTTGAGTTCAGGTTCTATCTTCTTTGAGCCATGTGACTTTGGGTTAATCAGTCAACTCTGAGCCTCAGTTTCCTCATCTGTAAAATGGGACTAGTTCGCTCTCTTTTGCTTACCTCCAAGGCTGCTGAAAAGAACAAATGATACTGAATGTGCCTGAACTTTGTAAACTGGAGAGTTACATAAAATTATTCTTCCTATGTTTTGCCCTTGAGCAAACAATGCCCTAAATTTCATGGCATCTTAATTTTCAAAAGAAAGTTTATAGTGTAGGATCTTGTATTGAAACTTTAAGTAATTTATACCCTCTGCCACCCTCTAGTCCATACTCAGTTTCTGCCTTATAAAGCTGTAAGAGAATGGGTCAGGCTCATACCTAATTTTCCCTGTCTTGTCTGTACTTGCCTGGCCCCATAACTCTGCCTTTTGTTTGAGAGTCAGCCAGCCTGCTCAGGATAGAAACAAGGTACTTGGCTTCCAGCAGCCACAAAGAACTCTCCTTAATGGCAACTCCAAGACTCTTGGCCTAGTAGTTGTTGCAACAACAGGTTACATAATTTGGCCTACAGACCCCTTTCCCTCATCCCTCTTGGGTGGATGTCACTTGGTCCAATGAGTTACACGCATCAGACTTTTCAATTTGGTCTAGAATCTCCTGTGTGTTTACTCCAGTCTGATCTGTTGTCTCTGTCCTGGGTACCTGCCTCAAGTGATGGTTTATACACAGTGAGTCAAAGATATGCTTCCACTTTTCTGCTGTCTTTGATACTTCATTTGCCAGAGATTGTGTTTTTTCCCCTTAGCTCCCATAAGGTGTTTTCAAACAGTCACCAGATCTCCTGTGACTGGTTTCCTTAAAACAAACAAACCTCTGTATTGTGGCCAGAAGACTAGCCTGGGCTCCAACATCCAGTCCATGCACTCTGGGCAATTTCAGACTTGTCATAGGCTCCTGTGTGCACATTGCTGCTGAAGTACTACATTTTTCACCTGTACAATGAAGGGAAACGCTTCTGGGATTGCAAAAAGGGCCCCCGCATTCTTAAACTAGCTGGTCTTCCCCCTGTGATTCTTTTGCTTATTACAACTTCCACAGGCCTTCTCCATGCAAATGGCTTGAGACCACCTGGTGGAGGCAAGAGAAGGGGAGGATCTGCGTAGAGTGGAAAGTGGGCTGACTGGGAATCAGATCAGGCTGACAAACTTTCTAGTTGGGTGACCTTGGTGAACTACTTAAAATCTTTTGTGTCTTGGTTTTCTCATCTGCAAAATGGGATGATACCTTTGTGAGGACTTGGAAGCTAGATCTACAGAAGCTCTTTTGGACCCAAGCCTGAAATATCTGTTACAGATGCCACTGTCTTAAGCTCAAAGAAACTCTGTGCTGTATGTCTCTGCCTCAGGACAGTGTTCCTTTGACAGGACATCTAGCCTACTGTGTATGTAGTTATAGGAAATCTAAGGTGATAGGGATGTAGATGTGTAGTCTGGGGCACAGAAAGGATGAGAGATGTCCTGACAGGGAATTCAGACTACCTTCTTTCCCTGTTTCACCCTCTGAAATGGGTGCCTTGGTCTCATGGTCTCTTGCCTTCCCCCAGCTCATGCATGGTATCACTTGCAAAGATGTACCTAACATGTAGGGATGTTCAAGGTGACTTCAAGACTAGGGAAAAAAGCGCTTTATTTGCAAAGAACAAACCATTAATTTACACAAACTTACATCCCAGTTTATATACATTATATATAGTTTATATACACAGTATCTCACACTGGATGCTGACCCCCAAAAGCAGCATTGGGCCTGCTCCAGGCCATTCTCACAACAAAGCCCTCCCCAACCCAGCCCAGCTGGAAGCTCTTTGAATAAAGAAAGACACACCCCAAACCCTCCAGGAGAGAGTCCTAAAATGGATTAAAAGAAAACAAGTAGGTTTCTTCTTTGTTTATACTTGGCCTAGGGGAATCTCCTGACAGAGATGGGGCCTGAGGCAGCACTAGGGAAGCCTAAGGATTTTCTTGTACTGGGCCAGTCTAGAGCCTTCCAGTCCAAGAGGCAGGAGCTGAGAGAACGCCTTGGGGAGTGGATGGGGGAGGGGCCCC